TCCCACGGTGACCCTTGGGCTCCCACGGTGATCACAGGTGAGCCTTGGGCTCCCACGGTGATCCCAGGTGACCTTTGGGCTCCCACGATGATCACAGGTGACTCTCTGGCTCACTTGGTCACTCTCAGGCTAGGTTTCCTCCTTCAGCATCAGGCTCATGCGTTCGTCTCAGTTTCCCGATTGGACAGAATTCCCAGCTGGGAACATTGTCATGGTGGGAGAGTCCCATTTGGTCTCACTGAACGGTCTGTGTGTGCTCTCACGTTGCCAGGGTGGAGGCATAGAATGATCTTAGATCCCATCGTAGGTTGGCTTGGACCCCTGCTGCCGCTGGCCACCCATTCGCAGCTGCTGGACAGTACTATCCGTGTCTGCGCCCAGGCCTAGCGTCCAGCATCTGTGCTTTCCAGGAGTGCAGAGGTTCCCAGCGGCAAGAGATTCCAGGAACCTGCCCGTAGTGATCCAGAGAGGCCTGTGAATCTCTCAGCGTAAGGTCTCAGGTGCCCTGGAGCTTGGCCCCAGCTCTGGGGGGTGTCCTGAGAAGTTGGTGGAGAAGGGGGTGGTTTTGAGGGTTCTCCAGACGCCCTGACGCCTGGATTTGCTCTGTTAAGATGCACCTGCTGGGCTTCGTGTATTGGCACCATCTAAGAGCATCTGGTATGGGGTTCTGAGAGAGTCCCCCACTTGGCTCCCTGCTCCTTGCACTGGCCCTTCTGGGCATGCGTGGTTCTGTGACCCCCTGCAGCATGCTTGGTGAGAGTCTATGCAAATGGTGTGCTTGGGGCCTGCTGAAGGAACTGGGCAGCCTGCTGGCACTGCTAAGAAGGTCCGTGGACACTGGTGGGATGGAACTCTAACAGGGAACTGGTCAATTTCTGCTGTGCTTCAAAAGAAAGCCAACCCCAGAGCAAAGAAGGCACCTCACTATAGCCAAGAGAGGAGAGTCAGGAAGGAGTGCTCCCTTTGTCGCGGGGTTCCCAGGTCTCAGAACCTCCTAAGCCCAGGAGACAGCAGAAATAGTAGGCGAGGAGCTGGCACCCATGCGCAGGCTCCCGAGGTGAGCCAGCCCACCCAGAGCGTGCATATCTGTGGGCAGGAGGCTTCTAGGTGGGCTTAGTGCCTCAGGACACTTCTCAGTGGTGCCAAGAACTTGTTAACACTAACCTTGAGCACAGGAGCCAGATCTGAGCAGGACCAAGGGCTGAGAGGCTGTCTGCTGAGGGCTGAGCAGCTGAACTAGCTGTCTCCTGCACTGAAGAAGGAAGACTGAGCCTACATGCTTCCCAAACCCAGATTTTACAAATTCTAATAATTCTTCCTAATAAACCCGGCGGGTGTGAGGACTGCCTGTGAGTTCTGTGTGGCCATTGCAACAGACTGCTGCTGAACCAGTAGTGCAGGGAAGCTTGCCCTGGGAGCAAGGGCAGCGGGCAGAATTTGGGGGAAAGGCGGAGAGAGGAGACATGACTGATTTTTACCTCATAGAACTCAGCTTTAGGCTGCTACCATTGCCCGTTCTCCCCTTTTCCTGCAGTCTGAGGGGGTCAGATGTTTCCTAGTTCTTACAGGATAGGACCCCTCCCTAGCTGACCAGACGTCTAGACTCCATTGGGTCCAGCAGGGTCCTTCAGCCTTCTGAACTCGGGAGTATGCCCCTGGCTGGTCCTCCCACCCCAGGCTGCTATGTGACAAATTGTCAGTCTCAGAATCTGTTTGTTGACCTGTCCTGTCTCATAGAAGAGAATGCCCCTTCCCCAGCTCCCCTGTCTTCTTGATGAGACTGAGCAGTTAATGCCCTCCTCTTGGTCCCTGGTGAGCAGGGTCCAGCAGACACGAGAACAGCCTACTCAGTGTTTCCTCCTCTGACATGCTCATTGGGCCAGCCTCCAAGGAGACATGTGCCCCAAGTTCTGCATTTACCTCAGGCCCCCTTTCTCCTTGCCATCACCACTCTTAGACTGCAAAGTCTAGTGTCGCATCTGATGAGGGGAGGCTGGACAGTCCAGCTCCTGGTGCTTTACAGACAGCCCCATCCCACAGGCAGAGCTCATGCCTCCTGGGCCTTCCCTCAAGGAAGACATGGTTTTCACCCAGCACAAGTCACTTTGTCCCCTTTTCTATTCAGAAGCACCTAGAAAGGGTGAGGAGGGGTCTTCCTGTGGGATCAGTGCCTCCGGCCCTGCACAGCAATGTCTGAGGCCCGTGTAGGACTGGGAGGAATCCTGCAGGCCCAGGACCTCTGAGGTTGGCCATTCTCGCACTCTGTTACTCAGGAGCTGAGCAGGCACCCCGAGCGCTGTTCTCGCATCACTGGTTGGAGTTGCTGCCATCGTTTTAAAGTTGAGAAAACTGAGGCGCAGCAAGGCATCCTTGTTGCCTGTGGGTGAGGGCCTGGGCCGAATCCTGGCCTGTGCCCACATGCATCCCCACCTGTGACACCTCAGAACATGTAACTCGGGCTGTGTTGGCCTTGCATGAGGCCAGAAACCTGAGGATGGCTCTGGGTGGCAGCAGCCCCCTGGCCCTGGCCCCTGAGGGGGCATTAACCCCTGGGCAGCCTTTGGTCTGGAGCCCTTGTGCAGGAAGTGCAGAGCCAGGAGTGGAACACAGGGAGGGCCTTCACTTTACCACTTGCTGACTGGGGACAGAGTGGAGGAGCCCCAGAGGCACAGTGCGAGGCTGATGGAGTGCAGCCTTGGTTCCCAGCTCCACCCCGGTAGCGGATGCCCTGGATCCACGGAACAGTGTCCCACCCGGAATACAATGAAACCTAACCACTGCGGCTTTTCCCACTCAGAGGTGCTGCCACACCTTCTCTCCCTTCTGGTTCCTTCCAGTGTCAGTCAGGAGGACCCCTAGTGTCATCCTGCATACCATAGCCGGTGCTGCTGACCACAACTGCCTGGCTGGCTAACAGGCAATTGCTAGCCAAAAGGTCAGAGGTTCAGATCCACCCTGAGACCCTCGGGAGAATTTCAAACTGTCTGCCTCGGAAGACCTGTGGGGCACAACTATGATCTGACATACGTGGGGTTGCCATGAGCCCAGAGAGGATATTAGCTCTCAGGTCTCCATAGGAAGTCAGCTGTCACACTGATGCGGCTTCCACCTGCCCAGCTAGGATTTTCTGCTCAGATCCAGGTGGGATGGACATTTGGTGGCACTGCTGACACAGGGGCAGGGTCTTCTGCCCTGGGGCGTCCCGGGCACAGTAGTTGTGGAACAGCATCCCACTTGTCCCCAGACATTATCACATGTCTCCTGGGATGACATTAAGCCTGGCCTGGAATAAAGAGGATGTATGTTGGGGGTCAGTAGAACCCCTTAACCCAGGACTCAAGTGGGAATGGAATCTCTCCATTAAGAATCACTGGTTCTTGGCGAGCTCTGGTGGCCTAGTGGCAAGAAGGTGTACTGCAAACCCAGAGGTGCATGGTTCAAATCCACCAGATGCTCTGCTGGAGAAGGAACAATCTCATCCTGTACCAGTCGGATCTGATCTGACAGTACACACACACACATATAAAATAAATTTAAAAAAAGAATCACTGGTTCTTTTTAAACTCCTCTGCCCCTTCCAGGACTCTCTGGGGACCCTCCAGGTTGGGGAGCAGGGAACTGCCTCCCCAAGGCAGAGCCTGTGTCTTACAACCTGGTGTCTCTTTTATGCCTGGAAAGAGCTGCTGGGAGCTTCTGAAGCAGTTACCTTCTCAGGAGTGTCCTCAGAGCTGCAGCACTGGA